CCACATTTGATTTACAACTCCAAAAAGTGTAAAGGGAATCACACTGTCCCAAATGTGGAAGTTCTTAACCTTGTTGATTGCTCTCTCGACATGGATACGAAGTGAGGCGATGGACTGTGTTTTGGCTACATCTTCTGGTGTCATTTGSCCATTGCTGCCCAGGAAAGGGGGGTAGTTAACTGAAACTCCAACTGGCAACAAATCATCTATAGTGAAGCCTTTGTCTGCCATTATTATGTCTCCGTTGACAAAGGGCAAATCCAAAAAGGCAAATCCAAAAAGCCAGATCTTTGCACTATCTCTTTGTCGGAGATTCGCCCTGTGTATAGTTGACTAACAAAGGTGATGGCACCACCAGGTGAGATTCCAATCAGCCCTTTAAGGGTTGTATGATTTTTATAGTTGCTGAAGAGTTCACTGTWAAGTCTTAGGCTTTTTGGCATTTGGCATCTTATCTCCGTACAGTCGATTATTACTCTAGTATTTGGATATTTCTCTTGAAAATCTGCAGGCATGTACCGATCAACTAAAGTTCTAGATGGCCACAAAGGAACCATAGAGCACCTTAAAAACATAAAATTTATCCAAGAGATGACAATTCGACTTATTGTTGTTTGAGATACATTGAATAGATGGCTTAAATGATGTTCTCTAAACCCTTGCCTCAATCGACACAAAACCATMAAGTATTCGTCTTTTGTAGAGAGTTGCCTTGGCCTTCCTTGTTTTKGTGCTTCAGCATTGTATTCGCTAGCATTCTCGTTTGTAGTGTCGGGTGTTGAATGCCAGTAGATTAAATGTTCACCTTGTTCTCCTGGATCCAAAAATTCATATACACTTTGGAAGACATGAACTGTGGGAAAACCAGTGTAAAACGCTACGTCTTTGTCGKACTTTGTTAAGTTATCGGCGGTGAAGAGTTTGCTTTTTAAGTCGAGTGTTTGTTGTTCAAGCATTTCAATTTTGGCACGCAGTTCTTCCTGGACTTCAATTGCGCGGCTAAGTTCATGTAATAGGCGGTTGTTTTCTTTCTTTAGTTCTTCATAATTGTCAAATGTTTCTTGAATAGGTTCGCTATTGTTAACTGAGCAAACTTCGCTTTCTTCGATTTGTGTCGGAACTTCGTCGCGATCGGCGTAGTCTTCATTAGCGGTGGTGGCGGCATTGTTCGAAGCATTCTTCTTTGTTTTATCTTCTAYTGGAATTCTCTTTCTAGGCGATTTTCGTCGAGGTGGGGAACCCTGCTTCCAGGGGAACACCGATGGAACAGCTTCTGGAAGCAAGGTTCTTTTACGGCCGCCAAAAGACAATTTGAAATCTTGGAGCTTGAAGTGTCTCGAGCAAACACGTGTGTGCGCTGTCACTTGGAAATCACGTCCTAAATCTCTTCGTATCGCAATCATCCACTGTTTAAAGAGATCCTTGTTATCAGGAAACCTATGGTATGATATTCTGACTCCATTTTCGATATAAACTTTCTTTGTGCATTGAGGAACACAGCAATTTTGAGGCATGATGAACACAGTAAACACTGKRGAGATTATAACTACGGATTTCAGAAGGCCCTGGATGCCTCGTTTTCATGTTGCCGTCACCATTCCCTCTCGGCCGTCAGCCATTTTGGAATAAGGTGTATTGAGAACTGAGGAATATGATATACATCGTAGCCATAGCAACCTGCCTAGCGCACGTCAAGGCCAGATCTCACTGCGTTGGCACCTGCTATTCTGGAGGATTTCTCCCAGAGCCCCAAGACATCTTTCATGGAAAACATCTCAACGGATACTCCTACAAGAACATCACCACTGATGATCCAGTCAAGTGCTACTCATCTTGTGTCCAAGATTGTCGTTGTAAGGCGTGCCAGATGAAAGATGCAGAATGTGAGTTGCTGGATGAGGACAAGAATTCCAGAGGTGGCGACTTCAAAGATGAGTCCGGATACGTTTACTTTGATCTCAAGCAGACAATGTACCAAGAGGTATGATTCTGCTTTAAATACACTCAAAAATAAGATATTCTGATGCAATTGATTTTTATTATCTACAGGAATCCCACATGGTTCCACCAGGTGTTTGCTATAATGGCTGCTGTCGATCTCAGCCCTGCATRAACGGAGGGACATGCGTAGAGCGCTGCGAGTCACCTAAAGAAAAGTTCACCTGTACATGTCCCTCTCTGTTTTTTGGAAAAGTATGCGAAAAACAGACTCTGCTTTCTTGTCTAGGCATCTTGAAGTCTGCTGAGGGCGGTGCTTTTCCAAGTGACGGAGTCTACACAGTTAATAACACAAGAACTGGGATAGCAAAGACAAATCAACTTTATTGCGACTTCGAGCCTCCCAACATTGCCTGGACTTTGATCGAATCTTTTTCGAGAGATGAAAACAATTGGTACAAATTGAAAGCGTTCCATCAACCTGGTGGTCGAAACAATGCTCCAGACGACCGGCCAGATTCACACTGGAACGACTACAGGACAGGAGTCAAATTGATTAGGCAAATCCACGATGACAACTCGATGTACCGATCCACATGTGATTTCCCTAATCGAAATGGTAACCTCAAACCCGACTACTTATTTGGTTACCTAAGTGACTATGACATCATCAAACACGGAGACTTGTCACGCGATGGAGAATGCATTATGTATTCGTACCTGAACATTAGGAACCACGAATTCCATAATGTAACAATTCCCACATGGCACAAAAAGGACGAACATCATTTACACATCGGATACCCTACACACATATCACCAGCAAAATGCGGATTTCAGCCATTATCAGGTGCAGTAAGCGGCGAGGCTTGCTTTGGATATTATGGTAATTACCACCCACAGTTCAAATGTACTGAGACTGGGAGCTCAACTACCCAGTGGTGGTTAGGGGGGAAGCTGGAATAGAGTGACAGCAGGTCATCAACATAGAACACAATTAAACTTTTTTTCGACTTTATAGAGGAAGGCAATGCATGGAAATTGTTGATACTGAAGCTATAATCAATGTTTACACTAACAGCTGACTGTGTGTTTAGACTAGTGTTTAGAGCTTGTTGATTGACCTTCAAGATGGCCGCAGACTTTTTGTCAAGGAAACGTGACCTCACACATGAATAACAGTAAAATGAAATCAAATCTTTAAGGTATTAATAATTCTTGTTAAAAAACAGATTCTAATATATGCACTCGTTTACAGAAAACTGATTTTTGGAGATGTCTATACCTGCCTTTTGTAGCTTCAACGAAAACAAAAGACAATCAAGCCGCCAATGGCAACACAACTCGAAGATTGATTGTGAAGACGAATACAGAAAGATATAATTAACGACTAACTATTATAATTACTTAACGAATAGAATTTTAAATCCAAAAACGATTTATGAATATAGTTTTATAATTAAACTTCGGTTCTGGATAAACATCGGCGAGCGCCGGCGAGATGAATACCACTCGAGCTACAACTATGTCGACCAGAAGCGCTACATCTGGATTCAAAAAACAAATAAAATCACCGCAAGTGTCAAATTAAAGGCGCTCAACGAGCGCATGTGGTTACTCCCAACATTATTTGTCATTGAAATGTATTCAAAAGGAAAGTTCTTTTCATTGATATGGTTGAAAGTTTTTGAGAGTTCTTTGAAGTAGGGTTGAAAGCAACTGCTAAGAAAATGACCCACATTTGAATAGTAATTTGAAAATTATAAACAGACAATTTTCGACGTCCATTATTAGACTGAAATGTTTTATTTCATAACATGTACAAGAACGATTTATATAATGAACAGGTGAACATTGTAAGATTAAGTAAAGTAAGAAACATAAGATACATATATATCTCTTATTGAAATTGAATATTTAATATTAACAAGAAAGCCAAGTTATATTATATAATTTGTTAATGGAAAATGTATAAATAAAAATACATGTTTAACGCAAATATGACTATGAAATTTCGAGTTGAGAAGTTTTAAATAATCAGTTACTGTCAATTACTGTATCTCTTCAGTAGAGTAGCAAAACATTGGTGACTTTATTTTGTTTCTTTTTAAATGTCACTTCAAGTTTTGGAAGTGCGAATAGAAATTGT